GTAGATTCTAATGATAAATAATTGCACACCACAAACATGTAGATTCTAATGATAAATAATCGCACACCACGCATATGTAGATTCTAATGGTAAATATTCGCACACCACAAACATGTAGATTCTAATGGTAAATAATTGCATACCACAAACATGTAGATTCTAATGATAAATAATCGCACACCACGAACATGTAGATTCTAATGATAAATAATCGCACACCACGAACATGTAGATTCTAATGATAAATAATCGCACACCACAAACATGTAGATTCTAATGGTAAATAATTGCATACCACAAACATGTAGATTCTAATGGTACAGTAAATATTCGCACACCACAAACATGTAGATTCTAATGGTACAGTAAATAATTGCATACCACAAACATGTAGATTCTAATGGTACAGTAAATATTCGCACACCACAAACATGTAGATTCTAATGGTACAGTAAATAATTGCATACCACAAACATGTAGATTCTAATGATAAATAATCGCACACCATAAATATGTAGATTCTATTGGTAAATAATCGCATACCACGAATAAGTAGATTCTAATGATAAATAATTGCACACCACAAACATGTAGATTCTAATGATAAATAATCGCACACCACGAATATGTAGATTCTAATGATAAATAATCGCACACCAAAAATATGTAGATTCTAATGGTAAATAATCGCATACCACGAATAAGTAGATTCTAATGATAAATAATTGCACACCACAAACATGTAGATTCTAATGATAAATAATCGCACACCACGCATATGTAGATTCTAATGGTAAATATTCGCACACCACAAACATGTAGATTCTAATGGTAAATAATCGCACTCCAAGTATATGTAGATTCTAATGGTAAATAATCGCACACCACGAATATGTAGATTCTAATGATAAATAATCGCACACCAAAAATATGTAGATTCTAATGGTAAATAATCGCATACCACGAATAAGTAGATTCTAATGATAAATAATCGCATACCATGAATATGTAGATTCTAATGGTAATATAATCGAATACCACGAATATGAAGATTCTAATGGTAAATAATCGCATACCATGAACATGTAGATTCTAATGATAAATAATTGCACATCACGAACATGTAGATTTTAATGGTAAATAATCGTATACCATGAACATGTAGATTCTAATGGTAAATAATCGTATACCATGAACATGTAGATTCTAATGGTAAATAATCGTATACCACGAACATGTAGATTCTAATGGTAAATAATCGTATACCATGAACATGTAGATTCTAATGATAAATAATTGCACACCACGAACATGTAGATTTTAATGGTAAATAATCGTATACCACGAACATGTAGATTTTAATGGTAAATAATTGCACACCACAAACATGTAGATTTTAATGGTAAATAATCATATACCACGAACATGTAGATAATCGCACACCACAAACATGTAGATTTTAATGGTAAATAATCGCACACCACAAACATGTAGATTCTAATGATAAATAATTGCACACCACAAACATGTAGATTTTAATGGTAAATAATCGCATACCATGAACATGTAGATTCTAATGGTAAATAATAGCATACCATGAACATGTAGATTCTAATGGTACATAATCACATACCACGAATAAGTAGATTTTAATGATAAATAATCGTATACCACGAACATGTAGATTCTAATGATAAATGATCGCACACCAAAAATATGTAGATTCTAATGGTAAATAATCGCATACCACGAATATGTTGATTCTAATGGTAAATAATCGCACACCACAAACATGTAGATTCTAATGGTAAATAATCGCATACCATGAACATGTAGATTCTAATGGTAAATAATTGCATACCACGAATAAGTAGATTCTAATGGCAAACAATCGTATACCAGGAACATGTAGATTATAATGGTAAATAATCGCATACCATGAACATGTAGATTCTAATGGTAAATAATCGCATACCATGAACATGTAGATTCTAATGGTAAATAATCACATACCACGAATAAGTAGATTTTAATGATAAATAATCGTATACCATGAACATGTAGATTCTAATGGTAAATAATCGCATATCATGAACATGTGGATTCTAATGGTAAATAATTGCATACCATGAACATGTAGATTCTAATGGTAAATAATTGCACACCAGGAATATGTAGATTCTAATGGTAAATGATCGCACACCAAAAATATGTAGACTCTAATGGTACATAATCGCACACCAGGAATATGTAGATTCTAATGGTAAATAATCGCATACCACGAATAAGTAGATTCTAATGATAAATAATCGCATACCACAAATATGTAGATTCTAATGGCAAATAATCGCATACCAGGAACATGTAGATTCTAATGGTAAATAATCACATACCACGAATAAGTAGATTCTAATGATAAATAATCGCATACCATGAATATGTAGATTCTAATGGTAATATAATTGAATACCACGAATATGACGATTCTAATGGTAAATAATCGCATACCATGAACATGTAGATTCTAATAATAAATAATCGCATACCATGAACATGTAGATTCTAATGGTAAATAATAGCATACCATGAACATGTAGATTCTAATGGTAAATAATCGCATACCATGAACATGTATATTCTAATGGTAAATAATAGCATACCATGGTCATGTAGATTCTAATGGTAAATAATCGCATACCATGAACATGTATATTCTAATAGTAAATAATCGCATACCATGAACATGTAGATTCTAATGGTAAATAATCACATACCACGAACATGTAGATTCTAATGGTAAATAATCGCATACCATGAACATGCAGATTCTAATGGTAAATATTCGTATACCACGAACATGTAGATTCTAATGGTAAATAATCGCATACCATGAACATGTAGATTCTAATGGTAAATAATCGCATACCATGAACATGTAGATTCTAATGGTAAATAATCGCGTACCACGAACATGTAGATTCTAATGGTAAATAATTGCATACCACGAACATGTAGATTCTAATGGTGAATAATCGCATACCATGAACATGTAGATTCTAATGGTAAATAATCGCGTACCACGAACATGTAGATTCTAATGGTAAATAATCGCATACCATGAACATGTAGATTCTAATGGTAAATAATCGCATACCATGAACATGTAGATTCTAATGGTAAATAATCGCATACCATGAACATGTAGATTCTAATGGTAAATAATCGCATACCATGAACATGTAGATTCTAATGGTAAATAATCGCGTACCACGAACATGTAGATTCTAATGGTAAATAATTGCATACCACGAACATGTAGATTCTAATGGTAAATATTCGTATACCACGAACATGTAGATTCTAATGATAAATAATCGCATACCATGAACATGTAGATTCTAATGGTAAATAATTTTGATACATAATTCATTTCACAACACAGGATTTTGAATGCCGTGTCATACTGAACACTAATTGCTAATATTTAACTGTCAACACAAATCACGTGTGATTTGACAACGTAAATGCATTTCACAATGCAACAAACCATCTTTGCAATCAATTGCATAATGCACCAATAGTTTGATAACTAGTTTATGCTTCCTCCATAGTAACCAAAATAGCCATTGTTATGATTAAAGGGCGGCAGTCGTCGCGCTGCGTATGTGCGACATTTGTGTTGATAAACATTGATTTTCCTCCAATCCAATGCGCTCTTCTAATGGAAATCACAAGTATGAGGTTCGACCTGGGCGCGACTTGCATTAACTACCGCCAGTGACACTTAGATACCTTCCAATCACCTAAAAAATACCTAATTAAATCTTTGTAACGTCTCAGTTTGTACTCGCTGTTCTGGGCAACAGTCAAAGTCGCCATCTTTGTTTATATGAGACTCATATATCTCGCGCATATGTGGCGCGACGACTACCGCCTTTTAATAGTTATTGTATTGTTTTATCAAAAGCTATATAATTGATTATAAATTGTCCTGTTTTCGGATTGAATGATTGATGTTATATTACCTTTTCCATTGCTCTTATAGAAAAACATATATTTTTAATCACGGCTGGGGAGTTTTTGGAATATTTGAATGATACATCGGTCATGGTAATATTGCCGTCTTTTGGCCACCCAGGATCTGTTATATTCAGGATTTGTAACGGGCCTTCTGGACAAATGTTACAATAAGATATAACACGTTCCGACGACGTCATCTGTGAAGCCAAGGACATCATGATTAACAATGTAATCGAAATACCCATAACCGGTCAATAACATAACTTGTACCTTCTGGATCAATCTGGCGTACTCGTGTGACACACAAGTACAACATAATCATATTAATATTACGCAGTGACAAATAAACAAAAATAATCAAATACTTCTCCTGGCGAGCTAATAAAATCGTGCGTTATATTTCGCAATGCATGTCGCAATAACATTATGAAATGATTTATTTAGTTCACGAATGTTCCCCAAACATCATACAGACATGTTATATAAAGGTTGTAGTTGAGCATGAGTGCAACATCTATTTACATCGGTACCTCATCAAGCTTGGCCGATTAAAGGTTTCCAACTGTTATTACTCTATCTGTCTTACCTGGTTCTCGACCTCTGTACTAAATCCAATAACCGTTTGAAAATCCGTCATCAAACTCATGGAATAAGTCATAGATAGTCCTATTAAAATTACATTTAGCCCTGATTGATAAAAGCAGAAACGTTAAAAGACTTTTCATGATTGTAGTTTTTTGGCGAAAAAGACCACAGTCATACTTGATCGAAATTAATACATTGTAATCCCATGCATTGCATATCTGTGAAATACGTAAACACATAATAAACCAAATCGAAGAAAACTCAGAGAGAACTCGTGTATTCTGAGACTATTGGAGACATTACAAATTAATTTAAGATTATCCTTTAAAACAAGAAACTTGGCAACTAATATTTGTTTTCTATTTGAGATGCACAACGTGCATCAATGTGATCCACATTACTGGAGTTCATAATACTTGCAGAAAATATATTTGATTTTACATTTGACTGTGGATTTCAGTCTAATTTATTCCATAGCATCTCTACCACAAGTTCAATTGAAATCTGATTTTTTGAGATATCTAATAATAATTAGAGAATCAACATGTTTTTGTTTTCAACAGTATCTAATCACGTTTGTGGATAAGCCAAGAGCATCTACAAACCATATTTTATTGAAATGGAATGATTATGCACATTGTCTAAAATAGTATACTCGAATTTCAAAATATTACGTTTCATCGAAATCCAAGTGGTTCTTTAGACATCTATGGAACAGACACCCCATACTGATTGTCAATATAATACAACTGAATATTTTTTTATTGAATTTCTGCATAGATGCAACCCCGTTTGACTTATCTTGTTACCAATGATGATATACAACAAAATTGTATGGAAAGATTATGTGTCAGTGTTCTATTACACAATGTTTCAAAGAACTAAACATCTATTTCGAAAAGAACTATGTTTTACCAAACTTAGCATCGTTTCGAGTCAGGTCGTTAAAGCACTTTATATGGATATGTTTCATAGTACATATATAAAACACTAAAAAGTACTCTACCTTCTGCAACAGCAATCGCTGTAAATGCCACAGACGAAATAAAACAGGCACATATTATTTCCAATCGTAGAGATAACCAGGCCCTCATAGTTATATGCAGAAAATAAGCTCCAGTGTGCAAATTTTGATGGTCATCAAATTCTCGTACAAAAATATCTTCTGCATTGAAAGCACGGATTGTGCACAAGCCCTGTAGAGTTGCTGACAGATGAGAAAATACTGGACTACGAGCTGAATAAAAAAGTGATTAACCAGAATTAATTAGGCTAGTATTTCATTCCAGAAACACAAGAAAGTGAAAGAAAAGTATTGGGCGACTAACCAAAAGCGGTATGAGGATTGCTTTACCATACTTTACTGTTTATGTGAATTGTTTATTGCTCTCTTCGTCACGGTGTATCCCAATAGTTCAATGCATATTTCAGAGGGCAAGCAGTTGTTAAATATATGATCTATAACACTGTCAGTTTTAACTATAATTCAATGGTATTTTCTCCGCGGTACGCACATCACTTAGCAATACAGCATGTTATATTTAAGTGGGAGCATATGTCAGCGACCGACCTCGTAGAACAAGCAGTTAACTAACAAAGTAGTAACCCCTGGTCTACATTATGCGCAAATATCTGCCAGTGGGGCAGACTCTGTAGTAGCAGGTTTTAATAGAACCTCGTGACTTAATAATGTCCATGTCCAGTTATATACACCCCACAAGGAAAATGAATACTTGTTTTAATGTCTGCAATAAAGAATTATTCTGAATCCGTAGCAGGAAAGATAATGAACATTGGCTCTGCAGATCATATTCATCTTAAGCAACGGTTTACCTGGATGTATAACAACCTAGTCAGCTAGCGAAGACTGTACGTGGGCTAGAACATGGATTCTGTGATTTGTTGTGAAAATTGGAAACATACCTAACCGTAGATCATTAAACAAAAGTCGCATAGAATGTGATACTTAACAGAATCCACAAGCAAATTAACAATTCTGGAAAAACAAAGGGTCAAACACTGGTAGCACCCGCCCTATATTATTTACAACCATATAGTTGACAACAATCGACAAAACAATTCATAAAAACAAAACAACTGACATTACACAAAGTATATTACACTACATAGTCAAATTAGTATTCATGTTTCGAAAAGAGTGAGCATATATCCTGCTCTACATGTGACACTCGACATATTTAATTTGGAGTTATAATCAAGTGGTTTATGAAACCTGAATATACAATGGTGCAAATAACCATGACATAACATGAGTAGTTATATATGACAAACCTCAGTTGCTTGATGTAATGGGTAAGCATTGCGACAGCCAAAAAACAGCAACATTCTGAATATTGAATACAGCATCTCTTTTCAACTACGCAATTTACAATTTTCAAATAAATTACTTACTTGTGCCTTCAAATCGTTTTATATCCCTTGATGTTTGCAAATAATAGCTCCTGATGTACATAACTAATGGAACCATTGGAATAGCAGGTATGAGTACCCATGGATTAATAACACAAGCTAAAATTATACTACCACATACTGCGAAATTTGGCTGCAACAAGAAAATCATTACCAGATAGGTTGAATTTAATTGTTAGTAGTGACTATCATTCAGATGAAATACTACATGGAATTGTTCAGACACCATTGATGAAAGTGAAGTGCAATACAGGCTACTGAATAACAAGGGCTCACAGTTAATATATAATATTACTAGATGACATCATGTTCCATAGATTTATATTATAATAAATCTGAAATTCCAAACTGTTACAATACGCAATGCATGTGATACTAGTTGTCATTGCGCGGCGGACACATTCTTAGCAGCTGGGTTGATTATAGTATAAAACATATACTATTTATTATGAAATTGTATGTTTAGTGTAAGTCGAATTAAGGTTTTTACGCAAGCTTTGATCATATGTTTATGTTGTCCCTTTAATAAAATATAATAATTATGCAGTTTGAATACATGTACAACCATACATTTTAGTGATACATTTTGGTAAACATTCTTCAACACATTATATACAACGTGCCAACATCATATAACCAAAAATACCTGGATAAAGTCGAAAATTAATTTAGGAAGTACTTCATCCATGTAACCAATATCTCTAGAAAATCTGTTCAATATTCGGCCTGGAAATAAAAGGCACATTTAGCAAAATGGTAAGTATCCACTCTAAACTATAAACAATTGAATGTTCACACGAATTCATGCATTGACTTTGCAGTGAGGTATCAACTAATGTGTAGTTATCAAGTGTGGAATTGTATGTTGAGATTTCATGTTCACTCATTGCAAGACATCCGGTCCGAAAATCTTATCGCGAATTCTGCACTATGTCTCTAGATCTGTATTAATCCTTCCATATAATCCCTTAATCTTCCCACATTTAACTATTCATCCAAGCTTACTTGAAATAAATCACCGAAACACTTGTTCAACTCCACCTTCGATTCCTCTCTTCTATCAGCTTAACATTCTCAATATTTACGAACCATGCAAACTACACACTTCTTTAATCGTCATTGATCTTAAACATGACCGTTTTGCCTATAATCTCAGCCAGTATATGGTTAACGCGTCGCTACAATCTAAAATTTGTTTCTAATGGGAATCCTTACAGAAGAGGGATAGGCAAATACAGACTTATTCTTATAAATAAACAACCACATCATTCTAAACACATTTGTTTTCAGAATATTCTGGCAGTCACACAATTCTTAACACAACATACATTTAAAAAAACTGTTTCGAGATAGATATCTATCTTGTAATAGTACACATAAGGGTCCTCACACTGTAGTCTGGCTACCCTATTATATTTGAGGAAAAGTGGTATACCATCTGCTGTTAAGTCACCATTCACATATGTTTACTACTTTAAATTACATTTGCCAAATAATAATACAGAAAAGTAAACAACAAACAAACAACAATTATCAAAATCAATAATACTAAGTTCATAGAGTTTTGTGACGATAAAAGTCTTACTAATGACTGTTAGCTATATGTATTAATGGACACCGATTTTCCGTTTGATTAAACTACATAGTGTACGTAAAGTAGCTAAAGACTAACCAGAGAACAATATATAGGTGTTCATTTAACAGCAATGACAAGCGCAAACAAATATATATCATTTCTAAGAAGACACTGCAAACATTTTCTGTTGATTCATGCCATTACCAGAAAAGCAAGGCGATAATTTAACTGCTTCAGGTAGCTTAGTGGAAGTTACACTAAATAAATACTTCTGCCTATCTGTGGTTTCTGATATCAAGAGTTGAGAATATATATAATTGTCATAATTTCATGTTGCGAAACTCACCTCTAAATATATCCGAACACTTTTTGATGACAGACAGATTCACACCAAAATAAAAACGTCATTATTCATTGTAAATGGCAAAGTGAATTACGGAACATCACTTCAACCACATTATAAGTAGCTGATTATTTCATGATTGAAATATACCAGTACATGATATTTATCAGCTTGTGTGTATTATGTTATTGTACTACTCACCCACAGGATTTGTATCATAAAACAATATAGGTGCCCTGATAATGGCTTCAAACATTCTATTATGTAAATTCTTGGAAGCATTCAAACATACTTTAAACAGTAGATATGTTCTAAGTATGGCAAACGTATATAGACTCACAACAAGAACCGAGTATATATAAATATGTTCATGTGTACTCAAACCAGGATGAAACCAAGTCTGAAATTCAAAATATAAATAAAGATGCATATAAGTATTACAAAACGTAGTATTAATTTATATCAGATATATATTTCTCTGAACAATAACTTTTTCCTATTATGATTTCTTTATTTCCATTTCGTTTTTGACGCTATTACGACAATCATATGTGCAAAGGAAGTCTATTGACAGCTATATGACGTATTAGGCAGTATAAATAGTTCTATGATTTGTTTTCGAAATCCAAATACTGGCTCACACTTCGATATTTTTGGCTGGATGGACACTGTAGTTTTGGGTACTGTTCTTTGTCACTATGAAAATTGATTTCTGTTCATTGTTGTATGGTCAAAATGATTCCATGTCGTGCCTGGCGAAATATACGATAATAACAGTATTTCTGGTATTCTGGTAATCCATGTTAAATATGTATTGCTAAGCTAAAGTTTTGGTTTATTGAATAATTTTGGAATTGATTTTAAGTAACAGACCGAGAGTTGATTAGAATGACCTGGCTTTCAGTTTCAATATAGTGACTATTATTTATATTAGCATCTATTCACCTGTGGTTACATGTGTCAGTTATGTTATTGCTGCTGAATACTTACACCAATTTGTATTAATTATATATGATGTAGCTTAAGTGGTGGTGGCCAACCTGGCCGGCACTCTGTAAGACCTATTTCAAACTTCAATAAGTCTTAAGTCTTAGAATTGTACCAACTTGGTTTAAAAGATGGCTGTGTAATTCTAGTTTATTTCCATCTTCTTATGTTAGTGGTTATGCTAGACTAGCTTTCGACATGCTCTGCTACATTGTGCTTCATTGTGTTTTGCAACAAATATTTGGAGCTAAGTAATGATCTGTCAATTTCTCTTCATGCTATGACATTAAGTATAATACAAGATGGCTGCGCACCCAGTTATGATGACAGGAAATCTGATAATCATGTCCCACACCCCCAGTTGTGTAGTGCATGTATGATATATATATTTGGACTCTCACTAATGGGTCGTGGCTACAAAATTCCGATTTCAGCAATTTTTGACAACTGAATTCCTGAACAACTGAACGGAATCCAGAGTAGGCATAGGTTATTCAGCCAAGGCAAATGCTCTGATCCTGGATTCAACAATAACCAAAATACAAAAGCAATCAGCCAAAATGAGGTAAATTATGACCTCGTTCAATGAGCTAGATTTATAGTCGAGATGGCCATATCGCCCTTAATAAGAAACTTTCTCTTGACACTAGATCAAAAGGATGCGTACTTATATATATATAGAATCTTTTGTTTCATGTTGTATTATTTCTGTTTGTTTACTATAGACCTGAATTAATTTGCTCGTGTAATACAAATTATTGCATTATATATCACGAGTCTTACACAGCTTTTCTACTGAAATAGATTTGCCTACTCAATCATATCCATAGTTGGGGTCTAACCAACATGTGTCTATCAGTGCAAGCTCGCGTAAGTATTCAACAAAAATTAATAAACAATAAAACTAGTTGATGTATGGAGTTTGTCTAAATGATTGTATCAAATAGAAATCACAATAAATGAGAAATAGGATTGACATACTCACATTATTCATGTTAATGCTACTTGAATTGAAAGCAATTATTTCTAAATCGTGATATCTTTCTTCTGTTTGTGCCCAAAATGATAACCACCAATCCGTCATAATAATAACAACCTAACAGAAAAAATGATGGTAAATTTATAATAACACAGGTTTCTTCATCATTCAAATTATTTAAGACCAAATTGCATGCTACTATCTTTATGTTTAACCACTGGTACGAGACAGTATATATACCACAAAATAAACATATGTCATAAGTCATACGACAGAGGAAGTTCATCGAACCATTTCTGTCCAGTAAATTCAGATTAAATCTCTACCTGTGCAAATATGGTAATAAGTATTGAAAATATAAACAGCCAAATTCCACCGGCTTTGAAATAGTCTATATAAATTTTCCAATCTATAGAACCACTATGCCTTTCTTCAACTTCAAATTCTTGGATAGCAGTACATTCCATGTTATCTTTCTTTCCTGACTGTGGAAAGCATATTGGAAAACGTTGAACAATTTCTAAAGTATATGCAGGGAATTCGGGTAGGAAACCAGGCTAGATCAGGTCTAAGTAGTGCAAACTATACACTAACCCTATTTGCTACCTATATTCTGAACTGTGTGTCTTATTTATTACACAAATAATTCATCGCAAATGCAATGTTATTTTATTATAAAATATTATCACGAATGGCTTTCTTGGCTGTTATTTATTATCACCATTTCCGATAATGATAACCAAGACATTGAATCCATGGGAGATTCATGTGCCAGTGAAATTCTTCTTCGGCTTGGATATGTTGTTACATTCCCCATATTGAATATATTATGGCCCTGGTATACATGTTGCTTTGCATTTTTCTCTTTCTCCAATGAGTTATTGAAATCAACACCAGCCATTACCATCTCGTCAAATGTACAAATTGTTGATGTTTTTCCCTATAAAAAACAACAACCATGAAGTATGTGAAATGTAGCAGAATATTTACTGAAATCAATGACATATTTTTGTACCAAGTTTGACAGAATAATTAATATAGAAGTCAACACATTTCGTGGTGATTTGCAAGATTCTAGTGAAAGACTAACCAACAAAACATGGCGTAATCCATGTTCAAATACTCTAAAATCTCACCCTTTTTCATTAAAGCCAAAACATTGTTTTTTTATTTTGAAAAATAACAGGGAACGGGTTCTGAATGACAGTGAGCAAACTGAGTATCTGACCGAGTATCTGAAGCAGGGAAATTAATATTATTGTAAAGGCAAGGAAGCAGTACAGGGTTTTCACCCACCTGACCCACACAATTGCATATATATGTTTTTGTAATGTTGTAAATACTGTAGTAAACAAGTAATCTGTAGAATGCTGTGTGGGTAATATTTTTATATTGATTTTTGTTGCATTTGCAGTAAATAGTTACCAAACAAAGAGAAATCTATAGGATTGGATATACCTCTCAGCTGGCTTCACATGCATAGTTCAAGCCTGCCTAACCGGTGCTTATACCACAATTTATTTACAGCACCTAGACGGTCTGTGGTTACAGCTTCATATTCCGAGTATTCGCAAGAAATTGACATTACAATAGAAAATAAAAGACTGGCACTCCCATGCAATTAATAGCAAGTGAAATTCCTGGGATTGAAACATAGATTGTGAAGTCACTGATGTAGGCAATGAATAACTTGGCATAAGGACGGGGTAGTTTATTTAATCAGTGCTGTACTAGAGGCTGAAATTTGTTTATTTCAATTTCTCCTGAAGTCACATAGAATACACTGGTGAAAGGATGTTTTGTGGGTGTAATGTATATTGGGGGGTAGGGGCGGGTGTCATATAATTTGTTTATTTCCAACTCTCATGAAGTCACATAGAATTTTACTTAATTTATTTTCACTGTAAAGTTTTCAGGCATTACGTGTGGGTTTAATTTTCACTGTGCTGTGTCAAGTCTCAATAGGGGAGTATAGGGGAAATGGCATTTTCACTGTGATTTATTTTAGTGGAAAAATGTTTTCAGTATTCCTACTTAGGGGCGTGTCAGGGTCAAAAGGTATATTTGTGTATCAAAATGACAATTGTTAGTTTACATTAGTAGTCACATATACAAGTACAAATAATAAAGAAACTAAGCGTTTTAATTTGTGAGTAATGATTAACACCGACAGTTTGCAAAATATTGAATAAATATTTAAAATATGACCTCAAACTGAAGGTAAGATTGAGTGAATCTTCTTATGTAAATTCAAGTGAGATACTGCACACAGTATAGTATAAAATATATTTTTTGAAAGAGGAAATGATAATTGTTTGATTTAAATTGGAAGACACTACCACTTAAAAGGTTTAAGTTATTGAGGTTAAACTTGCAGCACAATGTACAAGGTAATGAGCGAGTGATAAGAACTCATTAGATAAGTGAAAAATAAATCGTAAAAAAAAACGAAAAGGATTTTCATATATAGTAATGTTAAAGAAATGATAATAGTTTGATACCGTGTGTCCTCTATTAGCAGCGCATGTGCTTACGTAATTTCACAAAAGTGTTTGTATATTCAAAATACAATATTTAGATAGTACATAACATAATAGAAAATTTCAATAAATGTTTGAACAGAATCCTTGTAAATTATAAAATACAAACGACCTTAGCAATGGTAAAACTACGACATCCTGATATATATTTTGTGTGGAAATAACATTTTCAACTTCCCAGCAGAAGCACCCTTTTAAAAATAAAATAAACATTGGACAGTGTATTAAATTGGAGAGCCCCGCCAAAAATGAAATTCGTGAATACAGTAACCCTTTTTGGAAAAAAAAATTGGTTGGTTGAAATAAATAAATTAATATTCATGTGCAATGAAAAACTCGTCTTTTCAGTAAAATTGTACCAAAATGCTTTCTGAGATCGCGCATAATAGTTTTAAAATGACTGATTCTATCGCTAAGAGCTGAAAAAATAAACGGAAAACTGATGTAATACTGTTTTTGAGACACGGTTTTGGTCTAAACTGTTGAAAGTAACCACAGGTTTTTTCTTTACCCTGATCATAGCAAGTTACGAAATTCATGGAGAATGCAGAGGAACGTATATATTTCACTCTAGTACTATTGCTCAAAATTTTTTCAGTAACTTGCGCAGTTTGAAATGGAAAATTTTTGAACGCATTAAATCACGCGTAGAAATTGCGGCGTCAAACTGGTTGTCGGTTGATTTGTTTTGCAATAGACATAATTTTAGAGCCTGTTACTTTGTGATGTTTCTGAGTTGTGTTGAAGACTATTCTGTAACGAAATCGCTGAAATTATTCTATCTCACTGTAAAAGGAATGTTGTTTCTTCGACGATGGCCTACGGACGACCATGGACCATTTACCTCCATGGGACGACTGACTTCGAAACGTTCCACCGAGACACCGTCCCTCAACACCCGGTTAAGAAACGCTATTATCTAAAGGTGTTAATCCCTCAATCAACCAGACGATGCGAGTTTTGCTCAAATCGACTAACAGTGACGTCATCAGCGTCACTGTACACTATCAACTCTACGTCGTGTTGAGGGACAGTGACCGAGATCGGACGGCGCCCTATCGTGCCAATCTTCACCATTGTGTTCAAACGAATCACGCGGTGAACTGTTCAAACACGGGATTCAACCATTAGGGGCGTTTCAGTAAAAAAACATCGCACAGCATGCAAATTCAACATTTTCAAACCAGTATACTAAAACAGAAATGCTTAGCGATGCAAAAGAAGCATATATATTATTTTTCAGTATACACATCTCTTTTGACACAATCCCTCACATATTCTACTCCCAATTATTCCTGCGTAAAATGGAATAGCCTCTTTCCGTGTCAACATTCAGAGTAAAATCACGTGATATGCTGTCAAAATTGGCTGTTACATACTCTTTCGCCGGTCTGGAAAATGTGTTTAATTAGCTCTCATTCAAGCAACAATGCAGATTTCCCAGTGGGAGCGAAACTGGTTCGACTCTGCCATTGAAAAATAGGGGTGTTTTCAGCAAAAAACGAATAACCCCGGAGTGCACACAATAAACTGAATTTCGGAACAAATCTCGCATTAGTTACAGCAGCAGAATACCCCAGAAATATCAGACGAAACATGAAAACACTATATATTGTATTCCGGCCTGAACCCTCTCTATTGCAATTCCAGGAATTACTCCCATAGGTACAACCATTTTCCACCTTGGTATCACCCACTCCTGAAAACAAACTGATGCGTTTGGTAATAACGTAAATTATTATATATCTGTCACTGTTAAAGTGTGCCGTAATTTTGCGGTATTTTACGGGGTATTTTCATCCTACCATATTAGGAAATGCGAATTCCAAATATGGAATGATTACGCGCGTAAGCGTCCTCTAATAATAAAAACAAACATGGCTGCGACCAGAGTTTTACCGGACTCAACACAAAAAAGTTCGCTGATTCTGTTCTAAACATTTTGGATTTCAGCATTCCCATAGTGTATCCTTGGAAGGAAAAGATGTATAATAATAAGTTTATTACGAGGATA